GTGGTTCTGGTGGGTGTTGTTTCATCAGACCCGGGGGTCGGGCGGGGCTGCCTGGTGGGGGGGGCATCAGACCCCGGGGTCGGGCGGGGCTGCCTGGTGGGGGGGGCATCAGACCTCCAGGACCAGTGGGGGAAGGCTGGGCCAGGTGTCGGACCCCCGGGGCCAGTGGGGGCCGGCTGGTGGCTGGGGGTGGGCGTCAGACCCCCAGGGCCAGGTGGGGCTGGCTGGACCCTGACAGCTGTTCTGGGGTTTCAGGTTACAGCCTCTTCCTGGTTGCTGCCCATGAGTTTGGCCACTCTCTGGGCCTGGACCACTCGAGTGTCCGCGAGGCCTTGATGTACCCCATGTACAGCTACATCAAGGACTTCCACCTGCACCCAGACGATGTCAGCGGCATCCAATTCCTCTATGGTGAGCACGTGCCCTGAGCCCGGGCACGGGCAGGGGTGGGTGGCAGAGCAGGGCCGTGGGCAGGGGTGGGTGGCAGGACAGGAGTGGACGGCAGGGCAGGGCCGCGGGCAAGGTGGGCAGCAGGACGGGGTGGATGGTAGGGCAGGGCCGTGGGCAGGGGTGGGCGGCAGCGCAGGGCCACGGCACGGATCCTGGAAAGAGAAATGGCCCCCTATTGCACATGTCACTGGCTCAGCGTTTCCATCAGTATTCATGGAGATGCCAGTTTCTATGGCAACCCTGACTGCTCCATGCCAGTGTAGCAGGGATGCATGACAGGCTGCAGCCCATGCTCGGGAGCCATGCCTGGGTCTCTGAGATCTCCCCTGCCCCTCCCTGTCAAGGGTGGCACCCGCTGCAGGAATTGGGTGCCAGGGCACACAATGGGAACCCGTCAAGCTCCCCACTGCTCCAGACAGGCTTGTTCCAAGCCCAAAGCGCTGGCAGCGTGACCCACGTGGTGGCAGCAGGAGACGGGGCCTCTGGCTCACCTGCGTGGGGCCTGTCCCAGCTGTGCGGCTCTGCCCTGCTGGGGCCCCGGTATCACCTGCCCCGCCAGCAGATGGGCCCCTCTCCTGTGGCTTTGGCCTTATGTTCCTTCCCGTCTCCCAGGCCAGGGCTCTGGTCCTGCACCAACGACCCAGGCGCCAGACATCCCTGACCAGGCAACCACAGCAGAGCCTGACACAGCCACGGATGATGACTATCCCTTGCCAACTGAGCCCAGCCCTGTGGACCCCAGCAGTGATGCCTGCAAAGTGAATTCCTTCGACGCCATCACCGAGATCAACGGGGAGCTGCATTTCTTCAAGGGCGGGTGAGCGAGCCCTGCGGCCTGTGGCGGGGGTGGGGGGCACAGGGATGAGGGGAGCCCAGACCTTGGTAATCTACATGGGCATTTAATCCTGAAGTCGCCCCTGCTCCCAGCAGAGCCGCTCCCAGCCCTCTGCTGATGAAGGGAGCCAGTGGGGTCCCCTCTCCCCTAGAGTGTGACCCCCACGTCTGCTGCAGCAGGGCCGAGCTTGGCAGGGGGTTCTGGGGGTGGAGGGGCACTGGGGTTCACCCCCATGCTACCGGCATGACACTGGGATCTTGCATCCTCAGGAATTTCTGGAAAAGCTCCGTATCCCGGAAGGGGGCGATTCAGGGCCCATTCCGGATCTCGGCCACATGGCCAGCGCTCCCGGCCCTCATCGACGCCGCCTTCCAGGACCTGCTCACCAAGAAGCTCTACTTCTTCTCGGGTGAGGATTGGGACCTGCCCAGCTTGCCAGGACCTCCCGGCCCCCTACAGACCCACTGCCTGGTGCCCTGGGTGTCCCTCACTGGAGGCCTGGCCTGGCCCTTGCTGCACCGATGCTGGGTTCTTGCCCCAGCTTCCCCACACTCACCCTGCCCTGCCGCAAGCCTGGGGGCTACTCAGGGCTGGCTGCTGCATGGGGGGGTCAGTCAGTGCCAGCATCTGCCCCAGCGCCTCTCTCTGGGAGCCACCAAGCAGCTTGGGATGGGGCCGAGCTGGTCACTAGAGCCCTGGGCACCCTGGAGTGGGGGGAGGGGCCCAGTGGTCATTCTCGTAGTGACCGACTGAGGGACTGGTCCTTCCCCAGCGTGGGCTGCAGCTCCGTGCCCTGCCACTCTGCTCCCTCTGGGGGGCTCGCTGGACTGTGGTGCCCGTGCGTGGGCTGAGCGGGTGCATGTTCTCGCGCGGCCAGGGCTGTCTTGTTAGCACCGTGTCTCTGTGGCAGGTCGGCGTTTCTGGGTGTACACGGGCAGCAGCGTGACGGGCCCCCGCGGGATCGAGAAGCTGGGCATCGGTAAGGAGGCAGAGCGGATCTCAGGGGCCCTGCAGAGGGGGCGCGGCAAAGTGCTGCTCTTCAGTGGGGAGAAGTACTGGAGGTGAGTGAGTGCGCGGTCGGTGCAGGGCCGACGGGGACGGGGGGGCCATCGGGTTCAGGGAATTAGCTTGTTTCCTGCCCCTGTGACAGAGGCCCACATAGGCAGGGCCCCACGTCCGGGTCTGTGGGCGCCTGAGCCAGCGCTGCTCTTCTCCCCACAGGCTGGACGTGAAAGTCCAGAAGGTGGACAAGGGCTACCCACGTCTCACTGATGACACCTTTGCTGGCGTGCCCCTCAATGCCCACGATGTCTTCCTCTACCAAGGTGAGAAGGGTTCTGGGCTCTGGGACGCGGGGCCTCTCTCTGGGCCGAGATGGACCTGAGTGCGGGGCCCTGGCTCTGCGGAGCCGGGCGAGGGAGCTCTCCATGGCACCTTGGCACTGCCCTTAGGCTGCCAGGCTGACCCTGCGGCTCTAGGGCCGGCCCCTCCCCCCTCCACCCCCCAGTCTGACCCTCTCCTGGCTCTGGAAGGATCGGCCTGTGCCACGAGCCCAGGGCCGGGGAGTCCTGGGGAGACAGCGCCCCATTCTCTGCCTGAGAGCTGCTGCGCTCCCCACCCAGCACTGTGCTCTTGCCCTTGGGTGCGCTATCCAGGGCCACTGCTCCGGAGTGAAAGGGGGGGCAGGCGGGGCTGGTCTCTGGGGCCCCGTCGCTGGGTGATGGTTCGCTGAGGCCTGGCCTGGTGGCTCCTTGTTGCTGCCATTCGAAGACACTAGAGCCTGTGGCTTCGGAGCCCTTTGGCTGGCTCCAGGAAGGTGCTGGGCCTGGGCCGCACACGCTCTCTGGGGCACTGCCCTGAGCCGGCGGAGCGCTCAGCTGGGCTGGGGAGTGGGGGCTGTGCGTGGCTTCCCCGGAGCCTGGGAGCAGGCAGGTCCCACAGCTCCTCCTTCACGCTAACCCCTTCCCTCTGCATTCCTCCCTGGCCCAGGAAAGTACCACTTCTGCCAGGACCGTTTCTACTGGCGAATGACCCCGCGCTACCAGGTGGAGCGGGTGGGCTACGTGAAATACGACATCCTGAACTGCCCGGAGCAGTAGGGCCCAGGTGGCTTCACCTGCACGAGAGCCAACTGGCGCCTCTCCGCGCCAGCGGCTCGTTCATCCCTGCACCAGAGCCGGACAGCGCCTCTCCCCGCCAGCGGCTCGTTCATCCCTGCGCCAGAGCCGGACAGCGCCTCTCCCCGCCAGCGGCTCGTTCATCCCTGCACCAGAACCGGCCCGGCATGGGCCAGCACCTCTCCCCACCAGCCGCTCGTTCATCCTTGCACCAGAGCCGGCCGGCACCTCTCCGCGCCAGTCGCTCTTTCATTCCTGCAGACTCTTGGTTTTTGTTGTTTCGTTCCGTGTGGCAGCCCCAGGCCGTCAGGGGAAGTGGAGGAGTTGGCACGTGGAATCTCTGCCTAGGGCCTGCCTTCCAGCCCCAGGTGGGTCCAGGGAGGGACGGGCCCTGCTTTCCAGAGACTCTGGGCAGCAGCTCTAATGGGACAGGGCAAACGAGATCTAGAGGCGACAGCCTCTGGGAGCTGTAATATCCTGGTCCCTCAGCGCCAGCTGCATCCTGGGTGGGGTGGGAGGAACAGGATGCTTTAGCTAAAGGCTCTTGTCCCTGGCCCGGGTCTCTGCGGGTGGCGGCCCCCGCCTGCGTGTGCTGCACGGATTGGTTTGCCTGGTGCAAACTGCTCAGAGATTTGTAAGCGACTTTGTCTTTTTCCGAAGTTGATTAAGTCCGTGTCTGTCTGTCTGGGTTTGCTCAGGAGCTGGTGTCCGCGCACTAGGGGCCTGGCAGGTGCCACCGGCCTCAGTGGGCGCAGGGAGTGCTGGGCACGGCCCTCGCTCTCTCTCCTGCTGCCATTTTTGTACCGTGCAAATTTTTAATAAAGAGAATCCTGGAGAAACATGGTGTATGGTGCTGCTCTGTCTGTCCATCCATCCACCCAGAGCTGGCTGGGGGCAGGCACCAGGGAGGGCGGGGGCTGGGAGAGTGTCTTCCGTGTCCTGGGGCCGGGGCTTCAAGACCTCTCCTCTCCGGCACCGTGGTCCCCCTGCGGTGGGGGGATGCAGAGAGTGCAGGGAGTGTTGGTGTGGGGCTGGGGGCTGCACCACAGGTGAAGGTGGCATGTTGCTGTGGGGAGGTGGATGGGGATGGCCTAGAGATGGGGCAGGGGTGGGGGGCCATGGTGGGGGCTGCAGCATGGCCACCCCAAGCATCCCCAGCTCAGGAGAGACTCCAGAAGCTCCTGCAATTGGCCTAAAAATCAAGAGATTCACCCCAAATCACCAGGGTTTATTTTCTCATTGGCTGTTGAGGGTTGTTCGCCCCTCCCCCCCCAATCTCTGCCCGATCGTTTCAGGGTCACAGTTCAGCTCCGCTGGGCATCCAGCCCAGCTCAGAGGGACTCTACCCAACATCGCAGAGTGTCGCCCTCCCAGCACCATCCCGACACCAGCCCTCTCCCGTCCTCCCGTCTGCCATGATCCTCTAACGTCTCCTGGTGCCCCTGCCCCCCGGTTTTACTCCTTCCCGCCTGCCCCTGCATGCTCCCTGTCTCCTGGTGCAGGGACGGCATCCCAGCCGCATGGATCTCCGCCCGCCCGCACTGCACAGGAAATTGGCCTGGAGGGTTTCAAAGTTCTAGCAGGCCTGAGACCCCGACCCGTCTGCAGCCGCCGTGCCCTGGCTGGGGGTGACATGTTCAGAGTGACCCAAGGGGCACAGGGGGAATCGCTATCACCTGCTCACAGTGCGAGGGAGCCACCGGGGGAAACTCGCCCACCAGCGCCTCGCTTCGGGCTCCGCAAGCCCCACTCCTTCCTTCTGCTGGCTGCCAATCTGCAGCCCAGCCCTTATGCTCCCGGAGTGAGTCCTTGGAGCAGAGCAGAGTTCTCTGGTCTAGAGTCTGACTGTCCCCACGCGGCTGGGCTGGGGCGGTCGTTCTCACGGGCTCTCGCTGCGGGGAGCTCTGAGTGCCACCCCAGGCACCAGCGTCACCCCCTGCAGCTTTGGCCACAATAGTCTACGATCCGAGGGGAGCCGTGTTAGTCTGAATCTGTAAAAAGCAACAGAGGGCCCGGTGGCACCTTTGAGACTAACAGGAGTATTGGGTAAGAACCTCCCGTCTTCCGCTGCGGACCAGCAGTAGCCAGCTTGCCGGGACGGCGGCTCCTTGGTGCCCTCTAGAGGTGAAGCAGGAGGATTAAGGCTGTGCTGCTAGGGGCTGCCAGGCTTATTTGCATATGGTGTTCTCTGCCTCCCCCTATGGGTGATAGGGGAAAGTTGAGGGCTGATGTGATTTGCATACTCATCAGAGAGGCATGGCCAGATGCACAACACTGCCCCAGCCGCACGTCCCTCCCTTGCACCCTCTGGAGCTGGGTAAATTTTGCTCCAGGGCCAGAGGGCTCTTAGTGGGGGTCCAGAGTGAGCAGCCAGGGGGCTGAATTGGTGGGGAATGCAGCCACCCTCAGCAGGAAGCCAGTGTTCCCAGCTTTGGTCTCAGGACCCGAGTCTCCTCAGAGTAGGATGGTTAGTAGAGTGTTAGGGGTGTCTGGGGGCTGGTCTGGGGAGCAGGTAGAGTGGGGCCTGGATGTTCCGGTAGAAGGTGTTGCTCCAAGCTCGATGTAGGTGTTTGGGGAGAAAAAGGAGGTTGTACTTGCCCCTGGGGCAGTTCATATGGACCAGCAAGGTGGGGGTGGGGCCCTGAGTAGAGAATAAGGCTGAGATGGGGGAAGGGGAAGGTTTGCAGAACAGAGAAGTCAGGCTGAGGCTCCGAGGTGCTCGTGCACCCCACATGGGCCTGGGAGGTCTCATCCTCTTGGCCCTGGGGTGAGGGCCTTCAGGCCTGTGCCCGCTGATCACCACGCAGCTGGTGCTCTGCTCAGTCTTGGCTGCAGAGCAAACGGGTGCGAAGGCTCTGGGGGCAAATCCCTGCCCCACACCAGTCCCGTGGAGTCACCTCCTCTCACACACACGCCCCGCTCGTGTCTTGCAAAGTCCCTTTATGGAAACCCGGCCAATGGCGTCCTTGATGTCACACTGTCACCATGGAGACAGATGCTGCCACAAATGCAGGCGCATCTCCACTCTGCTGAGCCCTCTCCCACTGGCCTCCCCCCCACCCAGGCATTACAGACACGCGGCCCAAGGGGCCCAGTCAGGACTGGGGGTTTCCTGGCGACGTTGGGCAAATGAGAGTGGAGCCTGGGCATCTCTGCCCCCCTCCGCTGCCCAGCTGGGGTTAATCTGTCCCTCATGCACCATGCGGGGCGGGATGGGGCTGGAGCTGTAATTCCAGAGCTCACCCTGGCCCTGGGACCACCTAACGAGCAAAATGCCGCAAGCCAGGCCCTGTCCCCCAGCCCAACGGAGAAGAGCTGAATCGTGAGCGGCCTCGGGGAGCCCCTGAGCCGGTGGGTTGGACCCTCTCCACTGACCCCCCCGAGCCATGGCTGCCCCACTTGCCTCCTTGTTGCCTCCCACCCCGCCCCCTGCTCCAGCTGCTGAGCTCCTTGCCCTGACCGCGCCTGCAGTGCCCAGCAGGGCTGGCTGGTGGGGAAGTCCAGGCCATGGGGCACTGCGGAGCCCGACGCCAGGCCCTGCCCAGACACGGCAGGTGCTGCTGCTCTAGCTTGGACCCCTCAGCAGGGCTGCGGGAGCCCTGGGAAGTCTGGCTTGGCTCTGGCCGGGGAGCCTGGGGCCCGGGGGATGGCTAGGCTGTGTGGCTCCTGAGCGCAGGCTCCGCGGTCCCCGTGGGGATGGCAGTGCCGGGGCCTGTGCAGAACAGCGCCAGGAGGGCACTAGGACCTTGGCAGCGGCTGAGGGAGAGCCGCTCTGTCTCTTCAGCCGGTGCCTCGGCAGCCACTTGTGGAGACGAGAGGCTGGAGCCAGCGAAGCGCTCGCCGGCCACTGCTGGGGCATGAGCCAGAGGTTCACCGTCACGGCCCTGCCCCGGGAGGAGGGGGCCCCCTGCCAAGAGGCAGCTGCCGCTCTCCATGGAGATGCCGCCCCCCTGCAAGGGGCCCAGCCTGGCAGCCTCTCCCGAGAAGACAGCAAAGGTAAGTGATGCTCGGCGGGCACGGTGCGGGCACCCCGGGGCAGCACAGAGGGGCTGGCTGCTACAGTGACCTGCCAGGAGCCCTCCCGGTGGGGGGCAGGGACGAGGCTGGGGTGGGGTGGGCGGGGCTGGCTGCCCCACTGGGGCAGTGGGGCAGCGGGCTGCATCAGCAGCCATGTCTGAGAGGAGCCGGGTTCCTGAGGCCTGTGACTGGCGCCTGACCGGGCTCTGGCCCTGGCAGCCTTTGATGTGGCCTGGCCGGTGGCTTGGAGCAAAAGTTGCTGCTGTGACTGGAAAGAGGGAAAGTGCCTGTGGGTCCCGTGGGGGCTGGGCTCCGCTCTGGGGAAGGGCGGTAGGCAGGGAGATGGCTGGTTGCCCTGGGTAACCTTTGGCTCTCTCCAGAGGAGCCGGGCACTAGTTGCCTTCCATCCCGGCCCGCTGGGGGCAGGGACCCGCCTGACTGGGCCTGGCTCCTCTCAGCTGAACCGGGAGCCGCCTGCCCAGGAGCTGGGATGGGCACAGGGTCCGAGGAATGTGCTGGGGGCGGGGGTGCTGCAGCACCTGTCCAGCCCCTTGTACACGCAGCGCCCGGCGGGGCTCCTGGCCCCCTGCTGAATGGTGACTCTGCAGGGGAAAACCCACCACGGGCAGCGCCCGCTGGCCCCAGCCAGGGCTCTTGAGAGCGAGAGACTCCGGGCAGCAGCCAGACACATGAACTTCTCCACACAGCCAAACCAGCGCCCCTCACTCCCGACCTGCAGCCCCCCACAGCCCTGCGGGTGCCCCCGAGTCCCGACCTGCAGCCCCCTTAGCCCAGCCCTGGGCTCCCCCCACCGCCCTGCTGGTGCCCCCCAGTCCAGCCCCCGCTATTCACTTCTAGGACTTGGACTCCATGTCCTTCAGCTCACACACATCCCATAGTCAGCCATGGGCCCAGCGTGCTGACTGTGCCGCTTGAGCCTCCCGATAGTGGAGGGCGAGACCATGACAAACTGTGGCCCTCAACCAGCCTGCGTCTGCCTGGGGAGGCGGTGGGTCAGATGTCCAGCCTGCCACCCCCTCCACTGGCTGCCATTTTGCCCGTCTTTGGGAGCAGACAACAGCCTGGGCGGCATTTGGCTTCTGTGCATGACTTTGACTTGAGCCTGGCAGTTAATGGTTGGTGGTTAGAGTGTCTGTCAGGGTCTGTGTGGGAAGTCGGAGCCGTGGCATCCTGGGTGTGCGCATGTGCATGGGACGTCCTGGCTGTGTGTGCATGTGTGTGTGCATGGGACGTCCTGGCTGTGTGCGCACGTGTGTGTGTGCATGGGACGTCCTGGCTGTGTGCGCACGTGTGTGCGTGTGTGCATGGGACGTCCTGGCTGTGTGCGCACATGTGTGTGTGTGTGTGCATGGGACGTCCTGGCTGTGTGCGCACGTGTGTGCGTGTGTGCATGGGACGTCCTGGCTGTGTGCGCACGTGTGTGTGCATGGGACGTCCTGGCTGTGTGTGCACGTGTGTGCGTGGGACATCCTGGCTGTGTGTGCACATGTATGCGCGTGTACATGGGACATCCTGGCTGTGTGCGCACGTGTGTGTGCGTGTGTGCATGGGACATCCTGGCTGTGTGCGCACGTGCGTGTGCATGGGACGTCCTGGCTGTGTGTGCACGTGTGTGTGCGTGTGTGCATGGGACGTCCTGGCTGTGTGCGCACGTGTGTGCGTGTGTGCATGGGTGTGACGAACTGGGACTGTTCTTGCTGGGGTGTGTGAATGCTGACAGGGGAGTGTGACTAGGATGGTCTGCATCGGGGGATGGGAGCCGGCCCAAGGGAACATACCTGAGCTTGTAACATGAGAACCCAGGAGGGGTTGGAGGTCAGGTGACTCCGGGCCGGAACCGACAAAGGCTGTGGGAGGGTCGCTGAAGGCAGAGGGCTGGAAGCGAGCTGGAGAGATGGCTGGGAGGCAGAGATGGCTCTGACCCCCCAATTTAGGGGTCCGCGTTCCAGTAATACATTTTAACGTTTTTAGAAGGTCGCTTTCTATAAGTCTA